TAACAACAGATGGATCGTCGCTTACATAATGTAAATTTGAAAGCGTTTGATCAAACGATAAGGCTCATACTATTGTGTGATGATGGATCAAACGATTGATGGAATTACAATTCCACCTGTGCATATGTACATAATTTTGCGTTCCTTATCAAATGGATCGTATCGAAAATACGTTGTTTACGTTCATTCCTTCATCATCTTCACTATGGTTTGAAAAACAACGTAATTCGATCGCAATGAATTGCAAATTTAAGCAAATATTTTTCACTCTTGAAATGTTGAGTCGTGTTTATTCGATGTAGCTATTTGAATATGAAAATGTTCACATCTTTGCGGCATGCTCAAAACACGTTCCGTTTCAAAGTCGTTTCGATGCTAAAAAAAATAACAACAGATGGATCGTCGCTTACATGATGTAAATTTGAAAGCGTTTGATCAAACAATATGACTCATACCATTGTGTTGCATTCAGGCTCAAATACCATCGTTGCGTCGAACAAAAATCCAATAGTTGCAATATTAGCTCATACAAGGATATATGGAATCATATTAACTTTACATCACTCGAAAAGGTGAATCCCAACGAAACCATTGCCTTAATTATAATTATAATAAGCAACAGTGGAATGCTTCGTATACTGATACATGTATTTGGTTGGAACTCGGTTGACCGAAGCGCCATCTAAAGAGCCGATGGCGAGTTCGTGATGTCTGTATGTTATACTTCAGTATGACGTTTGACTGAACAGGGAGTTTACTTGATTGTATTGTCATTAGCCTTAGATTATCTAGGTGGTGTTCTCGTTCAATATCAGTTGTGAAATTCAAAGTGAATAGGAGAGTTGATTAAGCATCATGGAATTCATTTACTATTCCACACTTCGTCTATTTTGCACCATTCGTAAATGGAAATTCAAGCATGCCGTCGCCAAAGTCAACCCGAAAAATGGCAATGATGTCAACACAATAAACACTGCGGACAAAAGCGATAAATCAACATCGACATCTGAAATATGTACCCTCTTCAGTGGTTGAGAAAGCAAGGTTATTTCTCCGCACTGAAAATAAGTATTTTGATTGAAGTTGAAGTGGATTTCATCATTATTTAGTCAACAAATATTGTTGTCATAACGCTTGGTAATAATAAAAACTTCAGAGAGTGCATATTTACTGCTGAGCAGACCTGAACAGAGCTGAATTTGCTGACTCAGTCACCTAAAAGGTTCCACCTAATTTTGACGAGCCTACGGTCAGCAGCAAATATGCACTCTCTGTACGCATCACTGTTTTGTACTAATCGGTACTAATAGAGGGTGGTTTCCCACACAAACAATTGCATTTATTATTTAGATAACTTGTACAAACATATGTTGAACGAAACATGTATGAAGGACTCTTAAGGATGTCAAATTGAATAAAATACTAAGAATGTTTAAGAAAAGTATCCACGTGTGCGCTATTTCAATAAATTGTCCCAAATATTTTGAATGAAACACAATTTGTTTTTTAATGGAAAAAGAACAAAATTGATGATTCATTTCAACGATAAGAAGTTGGCAGCTTAAATCGAATGATTGGCAAACAAAGAGCCTCGATTCAACAAGAGAAAACTAAAATAATACCATAAACCTATTGACTTGAATAGATATGGAGCGGATGAACACAAAAATGAATTGAATTTCCTTATAGTTTCTTCGGAACTTTGAACGGGCAAAGTTGAATACATAAAATGTTCGAGTTTATCAAGTGAAATGGTTACAATGAAGACGAAAATTCAAGTAAGTTGCTCAAATATGATTCCAACGAAATGCACCAAGGTAATTGAGCGTTTAAATAAGGAAAAATTGTGAAAATAGCACCACTATACTCATTACTATATTTTTGAAGAAACCGAGACGATTTCAGGGGTTTGAACTATTTATCAATGAATTCTGCGAAAATACCACTATACATGGCGTGCGATATTTCACCGATCGCAAGCGACATTGGATTGAAAGGTATTCTTTAAAATTTCACTTGAATTTTCCTTGAATTAATAAATAGTTTAACTAGAGTTCAAATATCACTGGTTTGACATTCAAACTTGCATCTTAAATCTGATTCTCGCAGGATTTTTTGGGCTATTTCATTTGGCCTATCGGTGTGGTTTTGTGCCTGTTCCATACATAGTATTTGGTCAAAATGGAAGCATAGCCCAGTTGTGATTAACTTTTCGGAGATGATGCATATTTCAGCCGTTCCATTTCCAACCGTGACGATTTGCCCAATAACGAAAGCGAGCTTAACAAAGTTGGATGTGTTTCGTGCATATCATATGTTGAAAACTGAGAAACCCAACTTGACCGATATCGAGTAAGATTTTTGTTTCGTTTTTTCCTTGTTCTCCTTTCCTTCCTTCTTTTTCTTAGATTAGAAATCGCATAAGCCGACTGTACATACTTCTTTCAGGTTGAGTCGAATGGAAGCCTTACTTCACATCTGCCACATTCAAGATGCTGATTTTGGGTATTATCAAAGCAAATATGCAAATGAATCGATTTACGAATTGATTAAAGACACTGCTCCAGCACTGAATGACACTTTTTTCTATTGTGAATGGCAACATGAGTTGATTCCTTGCGCCAGCGTTTTTGCCCCAGTTTTAACCGATGATGGCCTTTGCTTCAGTTTTAATGCATTGAATTCACAAGAGATTTATACTGAAGAGTAAGTTTTAGCTTTTTTCCACTCAGTCAGTCTACACAATTTAAACCCATTTTTCGTACAGCTAAAATTCGTTGAACCTCTTGAAACATCCCATTTGTGAACTGAAAATACTTTAATTTCATAGAATGGCGCCTGAATTGATGATCGTAAAAAACAACCCGAATGTATCGCAGTGGAGCCTCGAAAATGGATACGATGATACAGTAAACAAGAAAAGCTACCCATTTCGTATATTCAATGCAAAACGGGGTGGTGCTTTAGTCACTTACTTGCGATCCTACGAACGGGTAAATTGATATCAAAATTGCCAAGAATGGCCATGTAAAAATGATAGTTCTTTATCGAACGATCTTGACATTGACCTTAGGACCTGGAATATTTGTGTCATGGTACGAGCCAGGGATTCAAAGTCATTTTACACACGCCCGGAGAAGTCGGTAAAATGTCACGCAATGTATTTCGATTGCCACGTTCAAGAGAGGCTATAATATCGATAAAACCCACAGTTATGATCACTTCAGATGGATTACGATTGTATACTCCCAATCAACGAAATTGTTTCTTCAACACTGAACGTCATTTACGCTTTTTCAAACTTTATACCCAGAGTAATTGCGAAACAGAGTGTCTTGCAAATTATACAAAAGTCCAATGTGGATGCGTTAAATTTTCCATGCCAAGTATGAACATTTGAAGAAAGAAAAAATTCAAAGCCTGAATTAATTGGATATTGTGTGTTTTTAATATTAGTTATTCGTTCTTATCGTCTTCTTTCATGTTTCTTTATTTTCTTATCATAGGAGAGCGATATGGTCAAATTTGTGGTGCAACAAAAGTTAAATGCTACACCGAAGCCGAAAAAGCACTCTTCGATGAAGATACTATCGACGGTCTGACCGATGAAAATGCCAAGTCATTTCGAAAGGACTGCTACTGTTTACCCGCTTGCACATCAATCACATATGATGCAGAAATAGATCGAGTTAAAATCGATTTGATGCAGAAATACAAAGCGTACAATTTTTCATTGGACAGTCTGAGTGGGTATGAGATTCCGACGATGTCCATTTAATTTAATAAAAGAAAAAAAAAACGACTTTTAAGAGTAACAAAAACATTGGTGGTTTTATGAATAACCGATCAATTTTTCTTCACCGTTCATAGCACCGCATAGATAATGTGTCATTTTTATTTTCAAAATTATTTCAGTGTTGAACCATCCGACGTGTCTATCTCCTTCAAAGATTATTCAATAACCTCGATACAAAAATCGGATAGATATCAATGGAGCGATTTTCTATCCGTTTGTGGCGGGCTGTTGGGTTTATTCTTGGGTGTATCGGCATTCAGCATCATTGAATTCATTTATTTCTCTACCGTTCGCCTGTTTTGCACAGTTTGGACATCGAACAGTGTAACATCATCCGATCGGAATGCCATTAAAATCATATCCGTCGGTCAAAATCGTGGTTGGAAAAGTGTAGCTACACAATACGATTCAAACTCACAGAACATTTGCAACAACTGTGCTAGGATCAAAAAGAATCATCCGAATTTTAAGAACTATTCAAGCTATCCACAAGATATTTTCTTTTTTACAAAATAGGTCGAGAAATCCATAAATATAAATACACGCTCATTTGTTTCTAGGCCATTTGTTCCAGTTCGTTTTTACTCAAGAGAAAAAAATACTCTTCATTTCTGCGGTGTACGTACCGCTCACGCTATGCGTTCGCTAATATTTAATAGTATTTTTTCTCTTGAGTATTTCTTATTGTTGTGCGTTTCAGCATTGAACAATGTTTATTGAACATTGTCGAATTCATTGTTCTACGCTTCGCCAATATTGAATAATTCGTCAATGGAAATTCAAGCATTTCATCATGACAATCAACCCGGAAAATGCCTATAATCTTTCAATTAACACAATCAAAGCAATGAATAAACAATGAAGTACCCTTTTCAATGCATAAGAATGTAAGGAATTATTGAATATGTGAAGTATTTCATCACTAGGAAGTAATAAAAATTCATGTTTAAATGTTGAAATACAACACGAGATTCTTTCACCTTTTCACTTTAATTTTTCGTTAATAAATTATTATATTTGATTACAATCATTTATGTATTATTCCATTCTTCGTATTTCACCAGTCTCTTGTTGTCCGTTCGTTGTGTTTCATTCCTTGCGTATCGTTTGAAAAGTAATTTCAGGTGTTTTGAAGAGCACTTCTGGACACAACGGAAATGAAAGCATAGACAAATGTACAAAGAGTCCCGTGAACGCCAGCCACATTTGAAAATAAGCTTCTGCACTTAAATCTGCGCTTATTCCTATTACATTGATTTCTTACACACAACCGAACTAACGCACATTCCACTTTGTATCATTCGCAGCAACGAAGACAGTGGACAATGCACAATATCATTGTGATTTAGTAGCCATTGTTTTCGTTATAATTGCTTTTATGTACTCACTGTTTTCGTTGCTGCAAATGATACAAAGTGGAATGTGCGTTAGTTTGGTTGTGTGTAAGCAATCAATGTACAGAGTATATGAATAAGCGCAGATTTAAGTGCAAACGCTTATTTTTTAGTGCGGTTGGCATTCACGGGGACTTATAAATGCCTAGGGAAAAACCAGATCAATTTAATTAAGAGTACTATACAAATCTTGCCATTTTTGGTACATTTTTCACCACAAAATTTTTTTGGAACGAAAGTTCGAAGCCAACACACTACTAGCGAGTAAATACCCAATTTTTACGTGCATTCACAGCTACTAATCTTCTATAATAAATGCAACGCTAGCACATAAGCCGATACGGTACACCATAATATGTATTGAAATGAAAATTCTCTAGCATCGTATTTGTAATAATGTTTTCTTTCTAATTTGTAGTTAGTCACAAACTATAAAGCTAAAATCTGTTTTGGAATTGGAAAATTCAAATTTTTGAGCCGTGAGGAAGAAAAAATAACGAAATTAGTACCCGTTACATTCCTTATAATGATAAAAAGAGAACGTTTGTAGAGAGAAACCGTATGCTAAGAAATACTAAATTTGAAACTCAACGTCATGCGAAATGTCTTTTATTTCATTTGAAACGTTGATAAAAACCTTCTAGAATATTCGAAAGATATATTTTTATTACCAAATACCTTGGCACTTCGTTAAACTTTTTTCAATCGAAAAGTGGCTCATTTGTATTCCACCTGATATAAACAGTAAAAGTATTAATTTCATCAAACGAACTTCTTCAATTTCAAATCTGTCCTGAAATACAAACAAACGGAACAAATGCCTAGGGAAATAACGCAAAGCGCCGCATCACACCGCTCCGCATTAAATTGTCACTTTGACATTGACATCTCAAAATATCATTGTTTACATTTGTGCAACGGTGCCAATTTCGTCAGTGTGCCGTTTTACATTAGCCGGAAAAGAAGATCGTTCCAAATTAAATGCACAACGTCACTACGGATATTTTCAATCATGCCAATTGATCAATTTAAACAAGGTCAATATTTGAAAAATGGTGAGTTAATCGCATTGAAGAAATCATGAAATTAATCGAAAAGTCTTTGATGCAGAAATTAATTTGGTTTTTCATAGGACACGATCATTTGAAAATCGATGAGCAGCAGAAAAGTAGAACCAACGCAAAATGAAGTGAAGCGAACAGATGGCAATGTTAAAAATAAATTGAAATTAGTTTACAAAAATCGAAAGTCAACAAATCAGATCGTGTTGTGTTCGGAATGTACAGATGAAGTGTCTATAGACGATGAAATAAAATGTTGAATATTATTGTCGGTTTTCAGTTCATTTGAACTGTTCAAAATTCGGATGATCGTTGATATACTGTGATTTATTGAAGAAAAAAAAGTGAACTTTTGGGCTGTGGAACTGAAGACGAATGATGCAAATCAATTGAGAAACAAAATGACGTTGCTCAGTATAGTTCAAACGAGTTAAAATATCAAATCTTTTTCGTTTTAATTTTTTTTCTTGCAATTTTTGTCGAAAATCTTTCCATCGAAAATTTAATTAAAACCAGCTCAATAGATCACATTATGGCTCATATGAAAAGTACCAAAGCTCATTAGTTTTGTTGTTTTTCTTGTGTTTCGCTGGCTATTAGTCGCTATATCTCTCGCTACGCTTGAAAAACTTCTTGGCACATTGACATATTGAACATATATGCGTACGACAAATATTCTATTAATAAATTGTCATACTACGTTTGGCGCTCAAACAGTTGATACGTTTAGGTTCGAGACGTTAGAAAGGTAATTTCGGTGAATTTATTTTCAATAGAATCTGAAGTTGAATAAAGGCATTTTGATTTCAAATTTGTAGGTAAAACAGTTTTGGAATTTGATGATGCAGAATTTGTGGAAGAAAGAGAAAACCCAGTCGAGGGTTCAGTACATTGATCTATTTGCAGAGTTAAATAACCGAAAAGTGGCTTTTCTAACGGTCAACCCGGGATGTACCAACCTCAATTCGACTTGTGCGAAAAATAATGAGAAATCAATTCGTTTTCGTGATCGTGGCAATGAACAATTTCAGTTGAAAAAGTGGTCCAAGGCAATGGATTTCTATAATCAAAGTTTGTGTTATGCTGAAAATGGATCGAAAAACGTTGCATTGGCATATGCCCATAGATCGGCTTGTTTTTTCCATATGGAAAAGTACGAAGAAGCTCTGATTGATATTCAACTTGCTAAAAATGCGAACGTAAGTGAAGATCAATTAACGGAGATGGACCAACGTAAAAGCGAATGTGAAAAATTGATTGTTAAAAAACCGTTGGAAAATCTTCCAAAATTAAGCTATGAAGCAGATACGAATTTCCCAAGCATTGCAAATGTGCTGGAACTAAAGAATAGTCCAGAATTTGGACGATATTTTGTAGCCAAGTGTGACATTCCGTGTGGAAAAATCGTGTTGGCCGAAGAGAGTTTTATTGGAGTGCGAAAAGACAATCCATGGATGTATTGTTCGGAGTGTCTTCAAATGAATACCAACCTGATACCGTGTCAAAGCTGTGCCACAACGGTGTTTTGCAGCAATAAATGCATGGCAAAAAATACGGCACACAAATGGGAATGTGGCACAAATTTCAATTTATTTGATTGCGAAATCAAATTTCAAGGACAAGCGATATTTTTGGCCATCGATACATTTGGCAGCATTGATCAATTGATGGAATTCATTGAAAGTATTTTATGTGATGTAGAAAAACAACCGATGTCATTGCTCGATTCAAAGTCAAAGTATCATTTCTTTTTTAATCTCAGCAAATCGCTACTTCATGCTGACGATATTTTGCTGGTGTATAAAATTTATATAGATTTGATGAAAATCCCAAAAATAGCCGCCCTCTTCGATTCGAAAGAAAAGCAACGATTTTTAGCGCATTTGGTTGCACATCATTTTTTGGTGATTTTAAACAATGCACACGGAAACAATTCATATCAATCAGTTGGTGCAATTTTTTCAATGTTTAACCACTCTTGTACCCCGAATGTGATGCAATTTTTTGATGGAAAACAACACTTAGTGACCATTCGACCAGTGAAGAAAGGTGATCAACTGTTTATTAGCTATTTGGGAAAACAAAAGCATTCACTGGAACAACGACAAGAAATCTGCAAATCGAAATGGAACTTTATTTGTAACTGTGAACGTTGCAATTCAGTCGGTGAAATTGTTGATCACAATACCATCACATCTGATGTTCATTACATATTTGTACTCGAAAATGGTTACACCGAAGACCAATCCAGTGAAGTTTTAGATCATTGCGAGAAATTTCTCAACAATTATGCACACTTACCTTGGTCGGACGAAATTCAATTTGTCATTGATATTTATTGTGCACATCTATCGAGAAATAATCTTAATCAGTTATTGTAATTTATGTGATTCCCAAACAATTCATTACATTTAAAAGCTATAATAGAGAATAGAATGGCCAAAGGCCGGTCAAATTTTGTCTTTAAAATATTTCATTAGCACAGATTTTCAATTGGCTTTCAAATTCAAAACTCATGGTGGTTTCAAACTTTGAGGTGGAATTGTATTGGCAGACTTTGCAGTAATTTAATAGGTAAAGTGGCAATCGCCGCAGAGGGATATTGAACGATCTTTACCATTGAATCTAACTGGAGAATAATATTTTTTATCGAGATTGAAGTGGATTTAATCATAGTTTAATGCACAGACATAGTCACAATACAGCACGAGGTTATTCACTTTTATCACCTGTTCACACTTCAACATCACTTTTTCACCATAATTGCTCATTTTATTTTCACTATAATATATTTTTGTAAGAATTTGTTGATTATAATCCAGGTTTCGAAATAAATAGAACTTTTAAACGAATAAATGAACGCAATCCAATGTTTTGTTTGATACATCGTCGATAAATATTTGTATAGTCTTGAACTCCAAAGGATGTTTGTCATCATTTTTTGAAAGAATATTTAATATTGGATGGGCCAATGTCGTTGGCGCTAATACCAAATTGGTTATTTGATAGTACAAAATCGGTTCTTTAGAAACTTCTTTCATTTGGTAATTAAAGCCCGAGTTAAATTTTTGATATGAAAATTCGATTTCAGGTGAGTAAAAACATGATTGACTTTAATGTTTGAACTTGGAAAATGTCGAAAAAATTGAAGGCTCTCGGAAATCACCTAGGTTGAAATGTCAATTGCTTTGACGTTCTAGGCACAAATTTCCGAGAGCCTTTCAGAAGCACATTCGAAGATTGGCGAATGATCATGGGGTTTTCCATAAAAGGAATCACAGCGAATGTTTATAATTAGCACTTAATTTGCAAGAGATAAATGCCCATAGCTCGCACGTCGAAGCTTTTTCAAACTCACAAAAAAACTCATAAGTTTTTATTTGATTGTACTTCTGACTGATGTAAACTCTTCTCCCGTATATAATCAAGACACACACCAAACTAATAAGGGTCTCTAGGTCATTGTGACTGTATTTCAATGTCTTTCATGTGCTCGTATGCATATGACTGATTAGTTGGGTAATTGATAACTCAATTTGTTTATTATTGGGTTATATTTTTTTATTATCACACACATGTGTTGTCCATTTCGCTGGGCAAATAATGTGAGACACGATCCATGAACATAGTTAGCTAATGTTATCAGATACATATGTACGCGAATCGTGTATATAATATGCATGATTTAATCTATCAACTTTTCAAACATACGTTTACCGATGGCTCAGCATTTCGTATCTGCGGATATATCCGAGCATATCGACGACGCAATTCACTGTATAAGTGGCGTGCGTTGATGTACATAGCTACATCGACTACACACAAACAGAGTGTTTTACACACAAAGAGAGAGCGCAGTGTTTGTGTGTAGTCGATGTAGCTGTGTACATCAGCGAACGCCACTTATACAGTGACTTGCGTCGTCGATATGCTCGGATATATCCGTAGATACGAAATGCTGAGATGCTGAGCCATCGGTAAACGTATGTTTGCAACTTTTAGAAAGTAATTGAATCATTTTTTACAATTTTTTCGTGTTTCTTTCGTATGATGCTGTGTTATCAATTATTGACTTTGTCTCAGAATCTTAATCAATTCGAATAAATAATTCATTGCAGTTCGCCTCCTTACATCAGTATAAATATAGAACTACGTCCGAAATGAGCAAGTTTTTGATTTATTCATTCTTGCTCTGCGTTGGACTTTTCGGCATTTCCAGCGATAACGACATCGATTCCGCTGCAAATACTCTACAATTCGTAAATGAATCTCAGGCAAAATTAAAACTAACAAATAATTCGAACATAATATTGGTGATTGGAAATACCGGTAGTGGAAAATCCACTCTGGTTCATTATGTGACCGGTGATTACAGCAAAATGATTTCGAAAGAACCAGAAAATCCCAATTTTATCGATTTTGAAATTGAAGACGGATTAGATTTGGAAAGTGGCACCATTCGATCGTCAACTGTATCGCAAACATTTATACCGGAGATGAGCGTAGATGAAAAGCAAAATGTGTGGTACGACTGCCCTGGTTTCCATAGCACACGCAACGAAACGATAGAAATTGCGACAACATTTTTGATTCGAAGTGTTATTGAGAGTGCATCAAGTGTAAAACTAGTGCTAGTCGTTGATTATGACTCAGTTACCAGAGGTCATAGTCGTAGTGATTTTGATGAATTATTATCGCATGCAACTCAATTACTCAAAACTGTTAAACCGTTTGAGAATAGCGTTTCGGTGGTGGTGACTAAGGTTCCGTCACTTAAAATGCGAGGAAGGCGTTATGTTGAAATTTTTGAAGATAGTGTAAAGAATACGTCAGCCCAATTCATGAGCGAACATCGCACAGTTTTACTCGAAAAAGGAATGAACGAGAAAAAAGTTCTTTTGATCGATGCTTTGTTGAAGAGGCCAAACGAAGATTATCCGAAAATATCAATATTTTGGCGTCCAGACAATACAGGGCCATTGAGTAAAATTCCAAAACTTATCTCCGGTCGTCATTCCATACTGAAATCGGTACATGACCACATATCGTATACGCATATTCAACCGGATGATTTTGGCGCTCCATTATCAGCGGATGCTCGGCTAAGTGTTAAAAGTATGATTGAACAACTGATTGATAATACTCCCACGACAGTACAGCATCTCATCAATCAGTTGCAAAAGAAGTTGCGTGAAAGGATTAGTTCAAAGGCCAATTTTAGAAAAAAATTTCAATGTATTGCATTGGAAGGTATGCGATTGCGATCACAATATCTTAGACGGAATAATGATGTTTTACTGAAAAATCTCACTGATCATTTGCATGGGCTTATTGAAGGGTTCGATCTACGTACGGATGATGTTGAGGAATTCACTCGAATTGAGCAAAATGGAAAAAATTTAAATATTTTTGAATCACTACTGGAAAATGCAAACATCAATAGTTTAAACGTGTCAGAAGCAATCCATTCACCGAGAATTGATTATAAATCATATTTGGATCAATTCAATAATTTTTTTGAAAAACGCGAGGACGAAGTACAAAGCGATCTAATTAGTGAAGCGCGAAGAACGATTCAGAAAATTTCAACTGCTCTATCCGAAACGGACGCACGCTTATTGGCAGAAATTCGAGAAAAACTCAATCGAACGGTCTTCTATAGTAAGCTTAATATACTACAACGAGGAAGAGACGTCATTGAATCGATTGCTAATGAAACCACACTGGAGCAACGAATGCAGCAATTTTCCTCTTTAATTCACACCTTCAAGATGACATCAATAGATGAAATTGAGCTCAATCGTACTGAACAGTTGGAATCACATCTAAACGACTTAATTTCAATTTCGAAAACCGAACTCATTGTGCCAACTGATAGTTGGATTGCAAATTCATCGAATACAATCACCTTTCTGTATTTGGAATATAATTGGTATTCATTTCTGTCACAATTTTATGAATTCCTAGCGAGTTACGAAATACAGACAAATTTGAGCGCATACAATGTGGTCGAATTATCGGATTGTAATAAATTGAGAAACCCTAAAGTTCTTTCATCATCGGAAATTTTCAACGAATTTACACGTCGACTTATGAGTAGGTTTGAGTTTGAATCAACACCATCACGATTGAATGAGATCAATGAAATCATAAAGACAACGATAAAATCACCGCCAAAATACCACTGCACCGATGAGATGATAACGATCAAAGCTAACTTTGTGAGGAGTTCGGATCTTCGATTTTCAAAATGTCAATCGATCAAGACTCTGAAGACAATAAATGTGTTTGTCGTCGATCGATTTTATGTTGACAGTGATTTATATTTGAATGGATTTGAAAACGTAAAATTCTATATTTTGGCAAACATATGGACCATCGTAAAGTCTTCTACATTTTATTTGAATGGATTTGATGGATCGTCTCAGACAATACCATCGCGAACGAATGGAACGGCAGGTAAACCAGGCAATCCGGGAATGAACTCGGGTAATTTTTTCGGTGTGGCGAATGAAGTGTTCAATGGTGAATCATTGACGGTGGAGCTAATTGGTGGTAACGGTGGAAATGGTCAAGATGGCACCGGCAATCAAGACGTTGAAGTTGTGTACAAAGAACAACCGTCTGATGACCCCAAATACCGAATGTTTTACAAACGTTATCCATTAGATAGTTGGATTGAATTTATTAGGTTCGAAAGTGGACCATACAATAGAGAGTTTGACGAATGGAATGCACCATATTTGAATTCAAAACTAACACATCTTCTTGAGAAAGAGGTTAAATTGACACAGGCAATATTTTCTGGACACTGCTGTGGTGTGACTGGTACTGGAGGTGCTGGTAAGTTGAAATATTACACTGATGTTGGGTTGATATTAAGTAAATACTATTAACAAACAGGTGGCCGTGGTGGTGAGTCTGGCTACTATGAATTCATTCAAACTGGGAAAAACAGAAGTAATCTTCCGAACAAGATACAACGGAATGGAATGAATGGGAGAAATGGACGAAATGGCAGAGTGTGTAAAACTACGGGACTTATAACTCATATGACCGGGACATACAAGGGATTTAACGAAAAAGGACGGATTTTAATCAACAATATAAAGACATCCTATGAAACTATCAATGATCCTCACTGTCCTGATGAATATGCAAGCAACATGGAAATAGCCACCAACCCACCTATCGATTTATATTTGGCAAACACAATAATCGAATACAAACGATTTCTACGTGAAAATATGGAAAATCCAGTGCTTTGTAAAATTATACAAAAGACTTACGATGCAATATAGTCATAGTCATATTGAAAGAAAGAAATCTTTTGATTTCATTTTATTTTAATTGAAAGAATAGTGTCCACTTAAAAATGTCATATTTGTTAGAATGCAATTTTGAAAATTTGGATGGAATAAAAGCTAAGCACACACACACGAAAACAAGTACTCAAAATCGAGTACAAGCGATTGTTTTTCTTTTCGAATTCACACCCATGGATTTCTTGTTTGTTTTTCCCTATTCGCAAAAAATTGTGTGTGTGAATTCAAAATTAAAATCGCTTGTACTCAAGTTTAGGTACTTATTTCGGATGTATACCCAAACTGCCGCCGACTTCAGATTTCAGGGTTGAGATATGTTTATATCTGTTGTACTTTGGGTGTCCTACAGTGTCCCAAGGTCGAATACGATGTGTACCAGTTTGGTTTCCTCGTAATTTGAGGTTCAATTTTTGAGCCATTCCAATTTACCGCATTTGATAAATTTGACCAATGACCGTACATAACAGATAAATTTAATCCAAAATTCTAGGAAAAAATTGTCATCGTTACCGATCTTCTTCAATCATTATGAAATAGTATCGTTGAAGCGATCGGTTGTATACACGTTTACCGATTTTATGGCCGTTGTTGGTGGGTTACTTGGGCTATTCTTGAGCATATCCGTATTGAGCGTTATCGAGTTCGTATATCATTCCACACTTCGGTTGTATCGGACGTTCCGTTAGTTCAAATCGAAAAATACTGTTACCCCGTTCAAAAGCAGTTTTGTTATCAGCCGCATTAAAATCGAGGCTAGTGCTCGGCAGTTGAATAATGACAGTTGAATAACACGAGTGGCACAAATTTGGGCACAAGAATATTATACTACATGTTATAGAAAACCATATAAACATATATACAGATTTGGGATTTTCTGGTAATTGCTTGTGCAATGTGTAGCGTCACAATCGCCGTTGTTCGTAAATTCCGCGCTTTGGTCAAAGCGCTTTAAGTTTAACGAACTTAAATGCTCTTTTTCCAATCAGAGAGTTCATTCATTGATCATGACATTTCACCAAGACATGCACCGTGGAATTTTCCTTTTGCGTTTCTTTGTTCACCTCTTGTATTCTAAAAAAAGAACTTTTCAATGAAATTCCGTCAATTGGCCTTTTACTTATTGTGATTTTATATCAAAGATAATAGACATTCAAAAATTGAGTGTTATTATAAAGAAGATAATATTGAAATTATGACTCTAATAATTGAAATTAATAATTAGCATAATAGTAAAACAAATATTTATAACGTATCCAACATATGTTAACAGATAATTTAGGCTCCCTTCTTCATTCCAATATTAATTCTTTGGTTTTATTGATTTTATATCAATTTTTTATTTAGAACTTCCTTGAGTGTCTGAACACTTAAGGTTTTGAAATAAAACAGTTGAGGTTTTCCTTGAAATTATGAGTGTATTCGGAAGTTTACAGCTTTTTGCTTAGCATTCGTATATGATTTATTAACTTTTCCCATCATAACCGATATAGTCGAACCAAGCAGCAATATTGATATGGTTAAAGTTTGACAAAAACATATTGAAATTAACTTTCGACCTGGCAAGTGGCTCCGTTGTGGTCCGAGAGGATGGTTTTTCAATAAATAAATATATAAAAACCAGATTATTGTGCGGAAAAGGTACTGCATTGTACTCTTTGATCCTTTCCATGTATTACAGCCAAAAAAAACTGAACATCGATCATTAGATGGTGCTCCGTGGAGCTAAATATATTTTCTGGACACAAGCGGGCAAATTGGACCAAAATGGGCCCATTGCTTTATGGTTGTAAAATTGGGAATACATAATATATCAACCAAAGTAGTATTATTCCGAAAACCATTTCAATGCGCAATATACCAATGAAATTGGATGAACCTTAGAAAAGTTACAGAGACATGTATTCATTTGAATTTTTGTCAAATGTCAAAAGCCGCAAAAAAATAGCCATTTCTCTACCAGAATTGATAATATTTTCGGTGTAAAAAGCAATGTATCATAAAAAGTAGTATATAGTGGGGAAGTGGAAAGATGCATCTTTTAAATGTGGCATGCTTTAACAAAATTAGTTCAGTATCAGTGGAGCTATGGAGGTGTATATGTACTAAAAATTCAGCTCTTAATATGTCAAATTGTACTACTTGAACACCACAAAATTTAGACAAAAAAATCAGAGTATTATATCTCTGTTGGGTTTCATTCAATTTTATCGGCATATGGCACGTTTGAGAGATGCATCTTTCTAGCTTCCATCACAGTCTCTTCTTTGAAAATATATTGCATTTTTTTTTTCAATTTTATAGCCATAAAATTATGGGTCCACTTCGGTCTTAAGTGATTTAGCTTGCTCGCCTGCGGGTTAATATTCTACATGACAATCGAATACGGAACTCAAAGGAAAAAATGTGATTTTTCAATTGATTTCATTTTTGGCTTTTTTTTCCTTCCTTAAGATAGACAGCCAACTCAAGATAGGCAGCCAACTCCTTCTTGTTATCTGAAAAATAATATAGTTTGAATCACATTCTTTTCTAAACAAAAATATTCAACATTACTTTTTGAAGCAATTTGATAAGGTGTCTGATTTTGATTATCTTTAAATGTAAGAAGTGCTCCATTTTCGACAAGGATTTGAACGATCTGTGAGTTGCCTGGAGGATAATATCGACCAATGAGAAAGACTAGATTATTTACTCATTTTGTGGAAATAAATATTCAAAATTACCATTCTCAGTAGCATAATGAAGAGGTGTCCGCTTATAACCGTCTCTAGGATCAACTTCAGCTTTATTTGCGATGAGCAATTTGACAACCTCCATGTGATCTGAAAAATAACATCGATCAATGCTAATCAAGTCTTTCTATCATTAAGTGAAAATATTCAAAATTACCATTCATAGCAGCATGATGAAGAGGTGTCCGATCATGGGAGTCTCTTGAATCAAGATTAACTCCTTTTGTGATGATTATTTCAGCGACATCCTTGAGACCTGAAAAATAGCATAGATCAATGAAAAAAATCAAACCATTCTCTTATTTACCGAAAATGAATATTCAACATTACCCTTCATGGCAGCATAATGAAGAGGTGTCCGCTTAATACAGTCTATAGGATCAACTTGATAAAAAGGAGCCATCGTGATAATTTTTTTAGCGACATCCTCGAGACCTGAAAAATAGCACAGATCAATGAAAAAAATCAAACCATTCTCTTATTTACCGAAAATGAATATTCAACATTACCCTTCATGGCAGCATGATGAAGAGGTGTCCGCTTTTGTTTGTCTATAGGATCAACTTTAGCTCCTTTCCTGATGAGAAATTCGACAACCTCCATGTGATCTGAAAAATAACATCGATCAATGTTAATCGAGTCTTTCTCTCATTAAGTGAAAATATTCAAAATTACTATTCGTAGCAGCATGATGAAGAGGTGTCTGATCATTGAGGTCTCCTAAATCAAGATTAGCTCCATTCGTGATGAGAAATTTAACGACATCCAAGTGACCTGAAAAATAGCACAGATCAATGAAAAAAATCAAACCATTCTCTTATTTACCGAAAATGAATATTCAACATTACCCTTCATGGCAGCATAATGAAGAGGTGTCCGCTTAATACAGTCTAAAGGATCAACTTTAGCTTTTTTCTTGATGAGAAATTCGACAACCTTCATGTGATCTGAAAAATCACATCGATCAATGTTAATCAAGTCTTTCTCTCATTAAGTGAAAATATTCAAAATTACTATTCGTAGCAGCATGATGAAGAGGTGTCCGATTATCGTCATCTTCTAAATCAACTTTGGCTCCTTTCTTGATGAGAACTTCAACGACATCCAAGTGACCTGAAAAATAACACCGATCAATGAAAAAGATCAAACCAATTTCTTATTTAGTGAAAATGAATATTCAAAATTACCATACGCAGCATTGGTATGAAGAGCTGGCCGTTCTTTTTCGCGTTTATCATTTGGAAAAAATGAAAAAAAAATATAGATGAGTGAAGTGAATCGAAATCAAATGTCTTATATCCGCGATATGAACTTTTCCACACTTTTGTCTAAATTGATAGGGAAATGAGTGTTCAGTTATTCAGAGGACCTCTTCAATTCCTATGTCAAAAACCATAGCAGATTTTTTTCTGAATATAAACGCCAGAAATGCCGTACGATGACGATTGAATTGCGCCCTGAATATTGTATGCTCTGTTCTGCTTATCAAGCAAGTATATCGTGTATTCGTTGTTGATGGGTACATCGTGCTGTAAGGCACCGCTGCAATGCACTGAATCTAGTGTGTTTGACTCAAATATGTGTGTATGGCGATGCTGTACACAAATACACATTATTTAGACCTTGGGTGGCAGATTTGATAAAAATCGTTGGTGTGTGTGTCTCTTGATATAACGATGTTTACATTTCAGAAAGCTCTACATAAGGCTTCTGGATTTATGTTACAATTTCGTGGATTTTTGTCTCTGATGTGAAAATTGAAATATTCAATGCGTTGTTATAGTCGAATGATACGTCAAATGAATGTTACATGTTTTAACATAGTGATATTACATCAGATAAGACTTTAGCGCACCCGAGTATTTTTGTTGTTTTTTCGTTCTACTCTAGCTTTTTGGCAAAAAAATTTTTTAAACAAAATTTTGTGTAACATAATGAAGAAGAGCTTACATTTTCAGCCTCCCGGTATTCACATTGTGTGGTCATATACACGTAGTAACTACGCGCATTGGCTCAATTTCACAATATTACGCAATTTCCACTTTTGGGAATTTTTTCTTTATTATATATTACTAATAGAAATATGGTTTTTCAAAAACTGTTCTTTTTTATGTTACACAAAATATTGATACAAAGTTTTTGTTGGCCAAAAAGATAAAGAATAACGAAGAAAAAAACAAAAAAACAACACAAATACTTGGGTACGCAAAAGTAATCTCTGTATTACATGATGACCGTATAGTTCTGGATTCAATGAATTGAATCCTGGGAACATCTAACGTCAAACATTTTTTAATAAATATTTACAACGAATTTATCATGAATTGAATTGAGTTCTGGTTAATTTGGCCTGGATACTTTGCTAGATCATATGGAAAATGACTTCACACATCAAATGGTGCATTATTGTTATGGAATGGTGAGAATGAAACTTTAAAAAGAAATGGAGCTTCAATCTTACCTGGTGCACCTTCACTTTGCTTCATGTTGAAAATTAAAAAGAAACAAATAAAGAATATTAGTTTGGAATAACAAAATTGAAATGAAAAATTAATTGGATTTTCGACCCAAAAAAAAAGTATTTGCAAAAATTAAATGTCGGAACAAAACAAAACCGTACATAGCTCAGCAGCTCGCTTAGTATTGGCCGTCTAACACGTTTGAACGCTTCATTCGTGTGTTCAAATTGTGTATTCTTACCAGAGATGAAGTAAATGTATATCAATTCGTTGAATTTACTGTACTCGGTACAGTACGGTATATTTACATTGATTTACCTTTGCGTTAAATAAAGCGTCCGCTCTCACTAAAATATGAGTTGACGCATGTGCTCCGCGCGTTCAACGCAAAGGTAAACGTTTAAGTATATACCGATACACATTTACATACACTTGCGGTAAACGATCAACCATCTCTGATTCTTACACACGTTACCTACTCATACATACTTTTTAACGTTTGACTTTGATAAGTGTGCAATGGAATACAAAGTGATTCGAATTACATGAGGTTCGTGCGAACCATTTGAGAGATAAATGCCAATAGTGTCAAATCGAACGCACACTAACCGTTTTTGATTTTGTACCATTTTAAAAATCGATCAAACGAATTAGTGAATTGAATACATAGAAATTTGAACGAAATTTGAATGAAGAAAATTGCTTTTCCCCCAAGAAATTGTGTTCTCTTTTTTTTTCAAAAAGAAAAGAGAAATCAACGCTTAGACTTTAACAAGTAAATTGTCATTGTTGGATATGGATTTAAAAACTATTCTTCACAAATTCAATATTGTTATTCAAACCAGGTAATTCTTGTCGATCCCATGCAAAAAAAGATACAGAAAAAATTGTAAGTTACCATGAATTGGTCTCCCAAAACCGCAACCAGAACCAAACAAACTAAGCGGAGAGAAAATATTGATTAAAAGACAATGAGTGACTGAAATCTCAAGTATTGTCAAAAATGAAAATTTAAAAAAAATTATGGAAAGAAGAGCTAAGAAGAGACTCACCCATCAATTGCTTAGACATGTTTATAGTCAAATCACTTGAACAATAACTAAATTTTCACAATTTTGGTGCCTCATTTATAGTCAAAAATTAGATGTTGCAAACTTGTCATCATTATGACACGTACAGCAAAACGAAATTCCTTACGACTGAAATCTAAAACAAATTATTTGAAAACATGTCTTTAATTCGAGCTTCTTGCGTCAATTCTCGCATTTTGTTATTTTGACAGGTGCAAATGTTTGGATATGTTACACGTGGATCTGGATATGTTACATATCCAAACATTTGCACCTGTCAAAATAACAAAATGCGAGAATTGACGCAAGAAGCTCGAATTAAAGACATGTTTTCAAATAATTTGTTTCGTTTTCAGTCGTAAGGAATTTCGTTTTACTGTACGTGTCATAATTTCATGCATTTTCAGTTTAGTCGATTTTTAAATCGAATATTTGCGATACTTACATGAATCTTCTTAGAGTCTTCGAGGAAGCCACATTTACCACTTTATATGAATAAATCTATATAAAAGAGGTGTGAGAGGCACCATCGGCAATAAAAAGGCAATGAGCTATTCGATATTCTTGAATCATGATTCAAGAAAGAATCACAACGAGAACATGACGTTATTGAAACGTCTAACTCCATCTACCCATTTTTACAGCAGTTGTGTTCTATTGAGTTGCGATTTCAACTATTTTTGGGCGAAATTATCTCAAAAGTATGCTAAAATGAGTTACTTGTTATGCAAATGCTCAAACGACTACTTTTAATGTACGCACTGATTCAGTAATCCATAGACATGCAATGGCTACTAGATGACAAATTTCATGATTCAATTTGCATTAGCCTTTACAATACACTCGAGTGTGGGTATTTACGCGTACATTTCCGGTAACCGTTTGAGCGTTCGCATAATAAATAACTCACCTAGTATACCAATATAGCTATAGTATCTCAATAGGTTGATTACTGTTTATGAATATCAGATGGAAAATTTATCCCGTGACATTTTCAGTGAAGACTTTTATCATCATCTCATGAGCTATGCCTATGCGTATCATGTACCTGACAGAGGCGAGATATTCGAAGAATTGAATGCATGTAATACGACCAACAGTACCTGTGGTGTGGATATCGAAACGATAAAGCAACTGGTTTACAATCATTTCTCTACTATCTATTTCAAATGTTTTTCTTACGATTTTATTTCTTGATCTTTTCATTTCAGTTGTTCCCGCATTGCAATGAATTATTTTACAATATCCAATTCAACGGCAGACGTTACCACCACTGTGTCGATCTATTCAAACGAGAGATAATTTACTATGAGAGCGTGTGTTTTATGGTCAACTCTGCTTATTTCTAGTAAATATTGGAGATACTTAGAAAACCACTCGAAAAAGGAGTGTTCATTTCATTTTCTTCTTGCAGTTTGCAGTAATCTGGATTGGGACCAATTACCAATAAAATACAATAAATATCAAGAGGGCGGTAAATTTTCGTTCAACTTGGTTCAGAAAAATGGATATCAATATTATGTATGTGAGCTTTATATAGATATGGGCCGTTTCATTCTACCTCAATATCTTGGTCAAATGCCAGCCGATTTTGATATTTCATACTAAAAATTGCATCCACTTTTTGAGACCTTTCCACTGCTATATATAACTGTTTGATCTGTCCGCCTGTTTATGAATTCAATTTTGGACGCCATTTTCATTTTCAATGGCCAAAAATGACCATAGGCCGGTCAAATCAACAACTGGAAACTATACACAATTCCTGTCGACAAATAGTAAGATATATAGCTGTTGGCGCCAGATTTCACTGAGAAATAATGGAGTTTCTTGTTATTGGGCCAAATTTTGTCTTTAAAATCTTTCATTCGGTCAAAATTTCAATAGGCCATATATATGAAGTACAAGTGTTATAATGCATATGTCATTTTACTATTTTCCTTAAAATAATAACAGCGCCATGTAGATGCTGCATTTTATAGTCGTATTAAAACTTTTGCACCACACTATATGTAATTCGTTTCATCATTTGTTTATTCGATTTCAATTTATTATACTACAGATATAATTTTCACAGTCCGAACAAATTACCGAGCACTAATAACGGTTGGTACTTTAATCTACATCATAATAATGATCAGGGAATTATATTACGAGTAAAGTCTAATTTCCACTAAAACTTCATGATTCATATATTAACTAAAAAATCTCCTTTGCTAAAAATGATACGTGAATGTGACAATGTAAGAAAAGAAGTGTGTAACGTTGGAAGAGGATGAAATAATGATTTCATTCGATGTTGAATCATTGTTCCCAAGTATTCCGATTAAAGAAGCACTAGGTGAATTGAGAGACTATTTGGAAGCAACGAATCTCAAAGAAAAAGAGAAACAAGTTTGCAGAATGGTAGCAAAAACCTGTATGGATCATAATAATTACTTTGAATTTCGTGAAAAATTCTACAAAGTAGAGAAAGGAACGAACATGGGCAATCCGATCAGGCCATTGATTTCTGAAGTGTTCATGTCCGCCTTCGAAACCAATTTGAAAAAAGAAAATCTCCTTCCAAGAGTGTGGCTGAGTTATGTTGACGACATATTTGCAATTGTGAAACGCGATGAAGTGGAAAATGTGTTGAATACGTTAAACAGTCGCTTCGATTCAATTAATTTCACGGTGGAAAGAGAGAAAGATAGCAAACTTGCCTTTTTTGACCTTGAACTAACGCGAGTTAATAATAAAATTGAAATAGGTGTTTATCACAAAGCAACATCAACGAAAAGAGTTTTTTTTATTTTATTTTTATTAAACACCGCCAAGCTCTGGCTGAATATAATGAGGGTTTAAAGAGTTATTCCGAATGTTTCACATTATGCGATCCAACATAAACTAGCCGCGTTCCATAGTTACATTCACCGGTTGTGTAGACGGCCATTGTCAATCGATAATTTCCGAAAAGAATATGAACACATTCAACAAATGGCCAAAATAAACGGATACAGCAAAAAACTCGTTGACAACATTGTTTACAAACATTCAGAGAAAGTGAAACGATCAAACCTTTCGACGTTCTTCGAATCGAACGAAAAAATGGATGTTAAACGTGTATCAACCTCTTTTGTACCCAGCATTACCAATAAATTGAAAACAAAATTCAATGAATTTGATATGCAATTTGTTTACCGCAGTGATCGAAAAATGCTCACTCAGAGCATTTCATCACTCTTTTAAATGAGCAATGCATTGCTCGTGTGCTGTTGTGCACATACATGAATGTTCAAGAGCGAACCCTCGCTCACATCGTAGTAGCTGTGTGTGAGCAGCTACTCACTCACAACCAATTCAACCAGTCACTCACAACCACTCAATCATTTACTCAATGTTTTACACAAAGCAACTCACTTGTGTACATCGCAATTGGTATATAGGAGTATACTGTGTTACATTGAGCGTTGTGTATAAGAGCGCTCTGAGTGAGTGGAAACTCACTCACTCAACCGTATGACTTTGCGGCATTGAGTGAGAATGTACTCATACGATACTGCTGCTCAATACAAAGGAGTAAATACGAGACTCACTCAGAGCGCTCGGAGCAGAACGGGATCACTGGTTTACCGCAACGAAAACAAATTAGCCAATTTCCTGGGTTCAACAAAAGACAAAACTCCGAATTTAAAAAAGTCCGGAATTTACTGTATCAAATGTGGCGACTGCGACCGTTCATATCATGGACAAACGAAGAGAGCGGTGATTGTGCGATTCGGTGAACACTTAAAGTGTATTCATAATAATATGCCTAATAAGTCAGCTGTTGATTTGTATACATTAGTAAATGACCACACAAACATCGGCATTGAAAATGTATCGTTAGAACAGCAAGTGAACGACGAACGACGACTCGACGCGTATGAATACTACTACATCAAAAGAGATACGAACGCAATGAATCTGGACGAAGGCAATATAACATCAAGCCTTATCGACCGTCTCATTTAACCGTTATCGAGAACAATTCGTTTGCTCTGCGTTTTGTTTCGTGTTTGTGTGACTTTGTGTTTTGTCTAATGAACTTTTTATGCGTGCTATGAGATTACAGATTGGTGCTGAAACGACACTTGCCAAACAGTTGTCATACTGATGATGAACTCTTCACAGTTCGAAATGCATTCAGGTGTGTTCAAATAATTTATTATTTGTTAATTTTGTGAAATCATTAAGGTGTTAAGACTACAAACAAACAATATAATTCATATATTTTGAATAGTTATTTTTATTTCAATTTCCTTTTTCTAGACATCGGAAGTGGAAAATGAAATGAATGTACGTGACTTATCGATCGAGAAGCGACGATGTCGGTTTTCAGACGAGCGTTGGCCTTTGAATGCATCACTTCCTTACGGCTTTGTCTCGTGTATGATTTATACTCGAGTTTAAATTGAATTAGAGCTCTGTAATTGTACACTGCACTTTGCACCAAGCGAATGTAAGAACCTTTCTTTATGATAATGATGAATTCGAATTGTATACCTGTACTCCAGAATGATTAAATGAATGAAACACCGATTTTATTGTTGGTCAATCCATTTTCATTCAATAGATAAAAATCGCTACTGTAATTATGAACAGATGAAATGCATTTCGGAACAGAAAACCAAAAGTTTAACTTTTCACCATCACCAGAATATTAAAGCCTGTCTTTCTAGCTGTAGAGAAATGCATGTTGGCTTAGTCAAGTAAGTAGATTGAATAGAAAAATGAAAATCAATGAATTGATCCGTAGATGAAATCAAACTTTAATTAACATAATTGAACCACAGATTTTCTAAGAAGAAACGAGTCATCGGCTATAAATCGGTTAACGAAAGTGATCAAGCGTGGGGCATTACGTCTGTGACCGTTGAAATAAATAGTCAACCGAAACTATTGACTCGATCAGCCCGCCTTACAAATCTAGACTTGGTCATCACCATAGGCAGCATTGTTGGTATATTTTTCGGTGCATCGCTTCTCAGTTTGATCGAATTTATTCACCTATGGAGTTTGTCTAGATTTTAATTTATTTCAATTCATTTTATAACTAATTATGATTATTGATCCAATCTATCTGTCAACATATTCAACAGACGAAGGTCAGAGTAATATGCATTGCACATTGTATTGAAATCAG